ATAGATCAGAGTTGGGAAGGATCAAATCCTTTTTGAGGATTCGAGAGCGGTATTCGAATACTTAAATAAAAAAGGATTTGTGATCCTATTAATTCAAATCTGTTTTTTTTTTTAGTAAAAAGGATTCTCACATGGGATCCTTGATTCAAATCACATCTCGTGAATTGAATTCGTGATTCGCATCTATTTTTCTAGGATTCATCCAAACTCTGCTATAGATAATAATATGGTTCAACATTATGCAGCTGGTTGCTTAAACTAGATCATCTTAACACTTACTGCGATTGCAAAAAAATGTCACAATTAGCAAAAATACTTATGTCACCAGTTTCAAAAATAAAGCAAATAAAAATAAACCGTTTTTGATTTTAAACATTATTATTCAAAGTTTTTATCAAAGTAGAGCAGGTTGGCTCATAAAAATTGAATTTGATTAAACTTAGAACCTAGTAATAATGTTGTTTTGGTTCTTATTTTCCATTCTAAATCAGCACAAAATTAATAAAACACAATACACAACAAAATAACCCAGTTTTTTAAAACTAAATAACTTTAAAAAGCAATAAAGTAGATATATGTTGTCTTTCAGATGAGTAAAATTGAGTTTAGGAGGGGATGGCTCTCAAAGGCTTATTAAAAGACTCGGACTTACATTAATTTCTGTTAAGGTTCACTTGAGTGTTGAGACAGAGGATATTGTTGTCTCTTTCAAGGGTAATTTCAACATCTTCATGAAAATCTAATAAGTTGAAATTTTTTGTGTTCAAGTTGACTAATAATTTGGAGTGTTTGTTGGGCTCAAATTATGTTGATTGAACCTCAAGTGATGCCCAAATGCAGATGTGATCGGGTTCTTGATGTGCTCTCCTATCCGGACTCCCAAAGATCTGCAAGTTCTGTCAATATAACTGGTATCGCAATCGCTGCATTGCAACCTGTACACTCCACTCCACTCTTGTCTAACAAATTTGTTTTGTCTTTGGTGTTGACTAGATGAGAGTCTAATTTATTAGTTGATTTGAAAGAGACTTTAATGTTATCTACGTTGTTAGCAAAAATTTTTGAGATGCTCTTAGATAAGTTATTTTCCCAGAAGAGGATTGATATGTAAAAATTATTAATATGACTCAAATTAGGGTAGGCTAATTTATGAATTTTCTTGAATTTAATTTTGGTTATTAGAGATTGAATTATGTCCGGGTCATACCCGTTGTTAAATGCAATTTGTTTAAGTATATTTAATTCTTAAAGATAGTTAGTTTTATTTAGAGGGATTGATAGAAGTCTATAAATATAGCAATAGAAAGCAGACATTTTATGTTGGTGAGGGTGATTTGAAGAATAGTGTATCACGTGATCTGTTTGGGTGGGTTTTCTATATATGCTAAATTCAAATTTGTTACCCTGTCTGTGGATAGAAAGGTCCAAAAAGTTCAAACAACGTTCTTTTTCGGATTCCAGAGTAAATTTTATATTGGGATGGATAGTGTTGATTAAATTTAAAATATTAGAAGCCGTGTGGTATCACCATTTATTAGGTAAAAAATGTCATCCATGGTAAATTAACATATTCTAATGTTGTGGAATAATGTAGCTGGTTTCTAGATGGTTAATGAAGATATCAGCGATTAGAGGAGATAAGCCACATCCCATAACAAGGCCATCCGGTTGTTCATAGGTGATGTTGTTAAAAGTGAATAAATTTTGTGATAAGCACAGATTTAAAAATTGTAAAATGATGGTTGTGTTATTGGCAGAAACGTTTGAACTTTTCAAAACCTCCCGAACCAAAGGCATGGTCTCAAACCTTGGGACCGAGGTGTACAGGTTGCCAACATTGAAAGAAACCATGAATTGTCAGGGATGTTGAAATTTTTGATTTTATTACAAAATTCTAAACTATTACTTACCAAGATGGCTGGTTTGAATTGTGTGAGATCATGAATTAAGTTGCAAAAAGTGGTGATTTTTGCAACTGGAGTGTTGATGAAACTTACAACTGGCTTAATGGGTATGTCCGTCTTGTGGACCTTCGGAAGTCCGTACAAGCGAGTCATGATTGGATTGGATGGTACCATGCAATTTGAAACTTGAAATTTTGCTAAAAAATCTTTGTTTAACTTAAGTAAGGCTTTAGTCCTTCTCATGAAAGTGTTGAAAGGGTTATTAGCCAAGATATTAAAGTTATTTTCTGTCAAAAAGGTATTTACTTCATTTAAGTAGTCAATTTGATTAGGAATTACTAAACAATTACCTTTATCAGCTTTCGATATGATCAATTTATTGTTGGCTATCTTACTTTTGATATTTTTTTTTATGTTTTTGCCCTATTGTATACTATTTTTAATTTCTACTTTATTTTAAACTCAATTGTAGCATGTCTCTACTTTTTAAAATTGTATGTGTTGACAAGGCTAATAGGTCTTATATGTTTATACATTTTTTTAACCTTTTTAAAATATTGTAATTATGTATGTCTCAAAGCCGAATAAATATTGTTATTATTTATTATTATTATTATTATATAAACAGTCGTTGAGAATAAATCAATATATAATTAATATGATGACAATAAAATGATGCATATGCAACTAACAATACAAGAAAGTAATATTGATTGCCTAGATTTCAGTAATGTTTTACCAAAACTTAATTTTATAAATAATCTATTCAAAATTAGAAAAAATATTGTATGTAACACGTTACGAAATGTCGTAACGGGACCTCGCTCTGCTCGTCCCGCAAATATTCAGTCGTTGCACAAAATAAGGCATTTGTTAACTGGTTGCATAAATAGCTATTAAGAGTTTGAAGTGTTTTGTGTGTTGTTCATTTTTGGATGTTTTTAAAGGGTTTAACTTAAAGTGTTGGTATGTGAAATTGTTCTGTGATTTCTTTACCTATATTATTGTGACATAAAAAATTTATAAAATGTCCATTGTAAAAACTATAGCAAAATCATGAAGGAAACGGACAAAACATTTTAAATATTCAAATATATTAGGTTGCTAGGCGTTAATAGAAAAATTTCGAAATTAACAAATTTCAAAACTTAAATACAGTGTGTACAAAAAGTTACGTAACTTTATATTTGGTCTTCTGATGAGTTTACATTTTCTTTACCAAAATAACATAGTCAAAATTTTATTTAATTAGATGCCGAAAGTGTCTTTCTTGTTCTACTTGGCAGCATCCGAGTTTATTGTAAAATATTGACAAGTTATTTTTTCTACATACTGTACACTGTTTTACTCGACTCTTTGATACTTCAAAATTTGTATTCTTGTTTAATATTGTTTTGTTATACATTTATGTAAAAATACTTTTCTTTAAAATAAAGTGCCTTTGATTAATGTACTTTATTTTAATTTTAGTTACAATTAATGAATTAAATTTTCATGAAATTTGTGCAATATTTATACTTATTTCATAATTTTTCTATTTTCAGTGATGTTAATTTTTTATTATCGAAACATTTCGTTATTTGTATGCAGATGTATTGCACTTGTAATCATATTGTGCGACAAAGATAAGACTAACATGCGCAAGAACATACCGTCGTATGTGTATCGTGATAAATATTGCAATATATTTTGGCAAATAAACAGATTGGGGGCATATGCCAGAGACATAGTACGCTGTCTGGGTAGAAACAGATAGATATCACTGAAAATGATGAAAACAAATTCATTGGACCACAAAACGTAAAGATAGGTCGAAAAAATCATAATTCCTATACTTTTAATACTGGTAACTGAAAAATTCATAAGATCCGGGTTACCATTTAGTTTATTTTTGGCGAAAATTTGAATAAAATCAGTAGAGAGACAAAAAAAAAACAATTTAGTACTCTGGGACCTTTAAAGTGAAAATCAATCTCGGGAGTCATAATTGTTTTATTTCATCCTACATATAAATTTAAAATAAACCAAGCCGACTCTGGCCACTCCGTTTCTGCAATCCGTTTCAAAAAGAACTAAATACAATGGCCGAATGTCACCGAAATTTGCCACATCTTTTTAATGTAATTTTGCGAGAGTTACACTTCAGTGTATTCAGAGGTTTAACAAAGCAATCGAAATGAGCATGCACCGTGCTGTAATCGTGAATTTTGTAATGTAATGCATTACATTCATTACAAAGCTCAGTTTAAGTCAGAAGTAAAGAGGTACACCAAGTATATTTTTGGTATGATCTAAAATAATTACAGAAATGTTCTCGAAAACTTTCGCTATATTATCAACGTTCTACCCTTTTTTAATATCATACAGAAGTTTTTTAATGGGTAAAGAATTCCACAAAGCACATTTTTCCAGTAACTTTTTTCCGTACAATCAAAAATTAGAGGGATATCACCCTTTTAAGCTTTAAGTACAGAAATGTTTCGTTCAAAAATTATCATACTTCTCTACTTTGCAAAAACCAAACAAGATTATTGTTATTATTAAATTGTAATTAAGCGTTTCTACTAGATCCAGTTATAGTTAGAAATGATTTCGTGTGTTTCAATAGTATTTTAAGGAGTTTATTATTTTAAAAAGAGAATAATTTCCTGACTCTAGTAGAATCCGTAAATAAATAAAACTTCTTCAGTATGATTATTTTAATAGAAAAACTTCATTTGTGGACACAGCTTACGTAAATAACAACGGATAATCTGAATAATATAATTAAGTAATTGCTTTTACTATTTAATTACAGATAGTCAGACATACTCGTATATTAAATCTTTTCATCTTCCCAATTTGAAACAAACTATGTCAAAATAATTCGACATTACATTTTAATCTCTAAAACTCTTCGAGACTAAAATGGTTTCCGATTTATTTTATATGCCGACTTCGACTTATATAATAAAAATATTTTTATCCAATATGAATTTTCACTTTTTTAATAAAAAACCTAACGGTAAGAAGAATATATTATATATTAAATCAGGGTCCGAAATTAAACCTATGCTTTCAATATTCAATATTAATCCAGAAATTTATGAACCTTACCTTCAGTAAAAATGGCCTGCAATAGAGTGCAAAAAAGGAAAGTTGCTTGCGTTGCTGTCATATTGTGAAGCTGACGGGTAGCACAATGCCTATTTAAGAATCGCATCTTCAATTTCGTGGAGCGCGTGGATTTCAGCCATTTTGGGATCTGAGGACAAATCATTGAATTAGTACGGGATGAACAGCCCTAAAGCTAAAGCGTTTATATTTATTTCCTCCAACGAATATTTTTGTTTTAAATATACAATTTTCTAGATAAATATAATTATATAGGGTGAAATGTATGTACGTTTACTGTAGGACATTTTTGTAGCATAGGGTGTTTTATCGATTACAGATATTTTTTAAGAATAATGTTTTAATAATATCAAACATTATTTTCAGTATAACCTATAATGTAAATTATTATTTGTTACAGAGCGAGTCACAAATTATTGCAAATTTAATTTGGATTCTTATTTTATTATGAGAATATTCTCCGAATAAATATCACGTTGAAATAACATTGGTTTAATTAATTAATATTGTTGGAATACCGTGTAAATGCATAATTTCATGTTAGAATAATTGTCAATGTTTTTTTGGTGTTGTCAGTTTATACGTTATCTAAATAAAAAAGATTCATTAACAAGAATATTAGTCATTTAACAAATATTAAGGGTTATCATATCAAACAGTTGAAATACTCTGTATGCTGGTTTATTAAAATTTTCCTATTGTTGATTGTATATTAATGCATATTAATAGCTCTCAAACCATTTTAAAAAAATAGTTTATAAATAGTATCGATTCTAAGGATATATTATCAAGTTTCCAATATCTCCCTGTATTTTAATATTTCACATGTTACATTTTTTAATTTTATTGTAATAACTTTATTTCGAATCTATTAATAAAGTGTAGATATGTTTTAGATATATGGTATAACATTTTGTACTTAGTGACAAATAATATGAAGAATCAAATACACTCGTTTCTTTACCACCCAGAAGTACAATTTGTGTTTTTTGTTTTCCCCATTCGCATAATCCACTTTCATTTAATGAACAGAATGAAAAAACTAGAACCGAAAGGACAAAATTATATCAACATAGGACAGGAAACAGGAGTTTAACTTAATTCTTTGAAATATGAAAATTTAACTTCCTTTTTTCTAAATAATAAAAAAAAGTAAGACAGTGTATCTGTATCTGTAGACACCCCTCAGAACCAGCAGGTTTTTTATGAGTTGATAACCTGCAGGCCTTTGATGAGCTGGAAAGTTAGCTATCTCTAGGCATCTGTCAGCGACAACCAGAAGATTTTGACGTGTTGGGAGGCAGGTTCTATATGCACCTGGAGTAGGCACAATGGGTCTTCTGAAGCCTAAGTGATGCGGATCAACCAATTCCCCCCACCTTGCCGATACAGAGAGATATGACGTATTTTTCATATATTCATATTCATATATTTTGTGGTGTGTATTCCAAAAATGTGTTTATTTTTTGACGATCTTTACTAGATGTGCCTGAAAATCGCTGATCTACACATTATAATATCCTATTTTTCATGTCATCTTGTGAAACTCGTCGCGTAGATTCCGAAAATGTATGTAGAGATCTATCTCTAACGGTAGGGCTTCCAAATTTTGAGATATTGCTATATCAAAACTACTAAAAAGTTTCATCAAAATAGCGTATGATCCAATTTCATTATCAGGAATAATGTGGCATACCCTGTATAAAAATATAAAATAATAGATTAATAATAACAAATAAGAAATAAACTTTGATAGATTTAACTTTAACACTTGTTAAAATTTGAAAATGTTTACAATATTATGTTTCTACACTCTTTATAAATATTTTCTAAAAATTTTGAAGTTTATAAATCTATTAGTTTGGAACTCTAACTTTAACACCTCTCAAGATTTAAATATGTTGTTTGCAAAATTATGTTTCTACCCTTTTTATAAATATTTTCTGATATTTTAAAGTTTATAAATCTATTAGTTTGGAAATAGTGAAGAAATAAATTCTCCAATGTCAAATTTATAAAAAATAAGAATTCAACTTTGATACTCTCTAACTTTAACACCTGTTAAAATTTGAAAATTCGTTTGCAAAATTATGTTTCTACACTTTTTATAAATATTTTCTGAAATTTTGAAGTTTATTAATCTATTAGTTTGGAAAAAGTGACGAAATAAAGGCTCCAATGTCAAATTAATTAATATTTCTCACCTAAAGTTATGCCTCTTTGCCAATTTTGATAACGATTTATGAAAATGTTATGAAATTATTACCAAAAAACTTTAACACACTATATTTTGTTCCACAGTAACATTTTATTGATGTATGTTTAGTCCAGTCTTCATATTTTGGTCCAAATAACCTGCGCTTACTCTATGTCCTTAAGACTTAGGTACCACCCTGTCTATTCCAGTTTAATACATATATTTATATTTAACTAAGCATTCTTTAGGTACTTGCATTCTTATAGAATCGTAGTGTATTTCTAGCAGTAACCTCCAATACATTCAACGATATCATCCACTATATTTTTTGTGTGTACCAACAATTCGCATTTTTGTAAAAAAAATAAACGCCTTATATTTTGTAACCCAATTCATTTTGCAAAACTTTAGTCACTGATCGAACATCTTTTAATCAATAAAGAAGTAAATGTGACAATAAATTGAAAAATGTAATAATTTTTTATTCGAGTTCCCCGCTTCTTAAGTCTTTCAGGTAAGTTGTTGAAATATTTAAGCGTCAGACTCGAGAAAATGCAACTACTGAAATGTGATAAAGTTTTAACTGGATTTTGCAAGCTACGAGGATGGGACGAATAATTTCCAGACTGACCTACCCTATAGTGTGCTATGATTTTGATCATTTGTTTATTGTTTTATTTAATGTGATGTGTCATTAGTCTTTCTGTGAAATATTGTAAGTTTGTGTTCTGTGGTTTCTATTTGACAGCCCGCTATACAGTGGTGTAGCTACTGGAATGGCAGAGGTGACAGTGCCTTTCAACGCAGAATCAAAATAGGCGTCGCAACCGACGTACCAATCCTATTATTTTATTGCAAAAATTTTCTAAGCTGGAATATACATATTATTCTAAAAATATATGAAAAATTCTACTAACACTAAATTATATGAGCAGCAGGCTGAAATTTTGCAAAATAAATACAACAATGACTTATCTGAAATTTAAAGGAATTATCAACAATAGATAAGCTGGTTACTTGCAACAATCTGAAAAAATTAGTTGCACTATTGCTAACTTTATTCTGTTGCTAATTTTCAGCTGGCAAAATATGCATCCGATTTTGAAGTTATTAGCAGTACAAACGCCTATTTTAAACAGCTGGACGAATCGGCTTATAGGAGCGGCATAAAGGGCTTTGAATTTAGTTGAGTAAAGTGTATTGAGCGACAAGGAGACCAAGTCGAAAAATAAAAAGATATTTGACTCCGCATTTGCTTTTTTCTCTCTTAGGCTGAAAATTATTCATCCGATCCTCTTAAATCGGATAGCTGGACATTAAACATTTTAATTCCAAACCATCTAGATTAGAAAATAAATTTAAAAACTGTTTATGCACTCATAAACAAAAATATTGTATATTATTTTATACCTTGAAGATTATTCTATTTAGTATTTATCCAAAAATAACTTCAACCGATACAACCTATTAATAAAGCTTTAAAAAATATGGAAACGAATGTTTCTGTAAAAACTCAACAGACAATGAAACGAGAGGTATTCCCAGAAGTAATTATAAATTAACGAGAATATTCTCATGAGATATTTTAAAATAAATTTAAAATCAACCGGTCATATTGGGATTTGCAGAAATTGCATTTTGATATTTCTTTTATATAGATTTTAATTTCCCAAAAAGCAGCGCTATAAAAGAATTTTAATGAAGATATATAATAATTTACAATATCTAAAAATTCATAGAGATACGAGTACAGTTCGTGTTGACAGTTTATTAATGCAATTATAACAAATAAAAAGAAACTTCAGATCTTCCATATTTCTAGTTTATATAGTAACAGAATTCAAGAAATTGAAAATATATCTTCTGTATCTGTAAGGTGGGAAGGAAAGATTGCCCATACATTCTTTATACCTCAATAGGCTCACTGTGCATCTTCCATGGGCATTTAGGAGCTTTTGGTTGACAACGTCGCCGAGAGGTGTCTAAGGACTGCCTCTTAGCTTATTAAAGTCCTATACATTAGCCCTAAATTTTTAATGACACGTGTGTGATGGTTTTTTTTTATATATTATATTATATTATATATATATATATATATATATATATATATATATATATATATATATATATATATATATATATATATATATATATATATATATATATATATATATATGCTTTGCATATCATATTAATGAATTGAAAAATACTCGTTCTGTTATTTCTTAATAAATATAGCTGTACATTTTAGGCGCCCTTGCAGCACTATTGACTCTTTTTTTAAGTTTTTGTGTTTTACTATCTATTCAGTTATTCGTCTCTATTTCTTTCTGTTTCTAATATTCTTTCTCCATTTATCAATCCACATCCTTTATGTCCTTTATTATTTTTTTTCAACGTTTTGATTTTTTATTAAATGTAATGCTACATTTAACTCTTCTAAGGTGGTGTTATAAAAGACATAGGGAGTGGTAACATCAATTTTCTTGAGATAGAAAATAGGATCTTGTATAGAGTTCAGTTTTTGCGTTAAATTGTGAGTAATACTACAATAAAATGAGTTGAAACAATCGGGATCTATAGAGGACTGCAATGTTTTGGTTTGGTGTTTCCCCCTTAATTCGTTGACAATGGCCCAGGTCTCCTCTGCTATGTTTGCTAAATTTTCTAATCTAGAATGGTAATACATATCTTTTGCTCTCTTTATAATTGCCCGATAAATCTTTCTGTAATAATTAAAGTAGTAAATAAAAGAACTATCTTGGAATATTAAATTAGTTATATACACAGATATAAGTAAGAACCAACAAGGAGTAGGTAGTGCGTTTTTTATTCCTGACAGGGAAGTAACTTTTAAATGTCAGATTCCAGATGTGTGTAGTATTTTCAGC